GAGCCAATGCCTCCGTCAGCCGGCCGACTCTGATGCTGACACCATCCTTTGAAACAGCAAGCCTGTCCACTGGTATAAACAGCATCTTTAGGGACAAGTTAAATGTCTAGTAGGGCCTACACGTTGCGACTCTTGCAATTTGATATCTGGATAGGCACTACAGCAACTTTCAAGGGCGTCACTAGCTGACATGAAGGCTCTGCAAAAATGTCGAGCCTCCTACGTCTGCAAAACATTCAAATCCCTCTTTTGGAAACCGCAAAAGTGAACCATAGCCTGGAGAAGCTCGCGCAAGTAATTTGCCCTGCCCTACCCGGAGTGGGCTATGTACCTAGAAGCAATGGCCTTTATCTGCTCTATGAGAGGAAGGCCACTTTAGCTAAACGCCCTGACCTGATCTGCCACATCTGCTGCTGTCCTCGACTGCCACGACCGCCCCGTTCATGACGCATGGGCGAGCGAGGCTAAAACGGGACTAGCGTGGACAGCAGGAATAAAATGCGTGAAAAGAGCAGTAGCAGCAAAAATCAATAATAGTGGGAGAAAAAAAGGAGTAGCAACCATAGCTCCAACATTCGGATTGTTGAGGCAGTGCCGATCATACTTTTGAGACACGGCGGGCAATTGGCTGTGTATATGTGTGCTTAGGGTTTCTGGCTAGCCGTGCATGCTTGCACTAACCAGCTTTAGGACTCCCAAACTGCACTTGAATGCCTGCCCGTCTGTCACCAAGATGCTCCGAGTTGCGAAGATTGTATACATGTCCACAAAGTTCTAGATCTCAAAAAAGACTTGCTTTGTTGTAAAGTATTGATGCTCATGCCGTGTCAAGGCTGTAGCCCCATGGCTTCTTCGCGTGACATTCGCTATGGCCCCAAGATGTCGCCAGATGCACACAAGCAGCATGCCGCTAGTCTATAGCTGTGTCTTGTTCACACTGCAGATGAGAACAACGCTTGCTGACTACTACGCTCAGCCAAATTGTAATTATGAATCATGATGGTCACCAATGTTAATTTACCACTATAATCCCCTCCCTACTGGTAAAAGCCTTTGAGAAAAGGCACAATATGGTCTAATTTGAAACTTAAAACTTTGAGGTGAACATTAATTCGTCACTAATTTGTCGCGGGGTTCTTTCATGAGAGGGGACTCCTAGAAAAAGAATCGCTCCCACTTCTCTGAGGCTTTGACTGGGCTAGCGTGCCTACACGTCGTATCCGGTAGCGAGGCATGACCTTGGTGTGCAAGGTGTAGGGTTTAAGTTTAGGGCTTAGAGTGCCATCCTGAGGTTGCATAAGCATGGGATTGATGCTCAGAATCAAAAACTATTTCCCACGTCCTTGGATGGTTTCCAAGCGTGGTAACTTCAATTGTCTCGTCAATTCACTTTTCAAGGACCAGGCCGTGATCTGCCCTCCTTGGTTGGGTCCGAAGGATGTCAGGTCCAGGACCTGCCAAAACATGCGGAACCCACAGCAAGCCTAGGAATTAATTGGAAACCATAAGAAAACTAAACTCCCACACTCCAAGACATCGAAAATCAAAGCGAGGATCTAGATCTTCGCAGTGACTATGCTGGGTTGCGGGTTTAGGATTCGGAGTGAGGAATTGAGGTTTAGGGGTTCAGGTTTCAGGGATTTAAGCTCCAGGACCTAGGATTTAGGATTTAGTCGGTTTGGTCTAGGCTATAGTGTAGTGTCGGATTTGGGTTTTGAGTTTTAGGCTTAGGGGTCCTAACAGAATGACGTGAGAGGGGAAATTCTCAACATGCGGGACCTAAGGGGAACGTAGTGATCCAACAAGGATGATGGGAGGAGTAATTGCGCGGTCCCTTTGGGGATCATGTGGGCGCTTAAAAAAACCGAACAGCTTCTAGACAAACTCCGATGAACGATGGGCAACGTTCAACCGTTTCACCGTTGGCAAAACATATCACGGGACTGTTGTCAATATTGGGCGTTGGGGTAGGGGGTTGCTATGCTTTGCAGAGGACAGAATTTGCGGCTGAGCAATTATTACCGGGGCTGTGCCTCCAAAATTGTGGGTCCTTTGTAATCTGTAGGTTGCGCATTGACGTAGCACCACAGGCAGTAACCTTCAGCTTTTCCAAGCGCCACTATGTTTGGCTTATGTCTTGTGTGTGGGTGTGCGGATATGGTCACCCGCACGGCGTGTCCCCAGTATACAACGGCCCCTCATATCTGGGGGCCCAGAGGAGGACCATACTTTTAACAAACCCTGGACCCTAAACCCCGAACCTTAACCTTCTACAGCTGCACCTGGAGCACGGTGCCCACATCTTCCAAAAGAGAAGCCTCAGAGCGGTTGGTGTTCAATGAGTACTAAAGCTGCTTGCTGGGTGTACTCAGGTATTTGTACTTCAAAATCTGGACGTCATGTAATATCATATTGCGCAGATCTATCTAGAAATGTACCAATGACTGAATCGCTTTTTTGCGTGCTTCATCATTGTTCTCCTCGCAGAAATCCAAGATTCAGGAGAGACGGTCCCTCCGGAAAAGCGAGGAGCATGCACAGGATGCAACCCGGCCATGCATGGGAAGAGCGAGCTGCCCTAGCAGCAACCGCGGAAAAGCTGCCCAGATAGCTGCATCCAGCTTTCCAAAGCTTAGTCTGTACAGGATAGGATTAGCTGACTCAACCAAGCGAAGGGGCCAGGCCGTAAAAGATCCACGGGCGCATGGGAAAAGCGGAAGCGTCTGTCTGTACAGGACGATCCACGGAGTGCGAAGCGTGGAATGAGTACGGAATGTAGGAAGTGTACCAAGTGTACATCAAGCAAAGCCTAAGTTAAACGTCCGTTGGGACGTACAAGATCGGCAACGGTCTCTCTCTGGACCAAATGGCCAATCTATACAGACCTGCTCACAACCAACCGGCAGCCACAGCTAACTTCTTCTGCCTCAGCAGGGTTCATGCCTATCAGATCTAGTCAGCAACCTTGAAAGGTTTCCATCACAGACATCCTACGGAGTCCAGAAACCCTTTGCAAGGCCCGACGATAAGCTTTGACGCTGGCTGCTGCAGTTTACAGCAATGCGCAGACTCCAAGAAGACACCGCAACCCAGCCGAGCCGTTACCCGCAGCATCCTACATGAACAAGTTTACTAGTGTCAGCAAAGTAGTAGTTCTAGTAGCAGTAGCAGTAGCAGTAGTAGTAGTAGTAGTAGTAGTAGCAGCAGCAGCAACGTGAGCTAGAAGTCGTAAGTTTCCCATTCATGCCAGCGGCACGCTTACAACTATTTACCGGTCCCTGTGCTCAGGCCGTCCGCATCGGCTCAATTGAAGTCTGATAGATGGTTAGAGATTAGGATTTAGGGTTGCCCACGGATCCATGTTCAGAAAGCAATGGCAAACACGAGCAAGGAAACATATGTGCATAGACAAGGCACAGAGAACACAAAACAGTTGCAAGCCCCGCAACCGGAACCTGGCCTTCTAAACCTACATGGATCTACACGGGCAACCTCCAGAAGGACACAATTGTATGGGATCATATGATAAAAGATTGTAGGGACTACGAAAACAGTTCCCCCATTACCCACGAGCCAGGTAGCAACCCCAAAATGCCTCAATCCCCATCCCACATATCCCACCACACCTTGGCACAGAAACCAGAAACTAAAACCCAACAAAAGCCTCTCAACCCTCCATGCCCTCCCTCCCTCCCTCCCCGCCTCAGCTCCTCGTCCAGGCGCAGGATTGCTTGCCCGGCAGCATCCTGGCAGAGTGAAGACGGGAAGCACATGCTAACTTCTATAAGGATTATGAGGGAATAGTATTGCAAAGATGTTCAAACTGCAAGCTTCTCCGCTTTGGTTTGGAGACGAGGGCTTGCAGTTTTGAAGAACCATTGGGTTCCAGGCATTTTGCAGAAACCAACCGACCTCCTGCTCTTCTTGAGTCCCGACCGCAGAAAGGCCAGACCCCTGCTTACCAGGCACGCACCCTGTATGGGTAGTTGCCGACCGACTATACATGCATGTACCTACAAGTCATATCCTGTATTACTTCCCCAGCGGCACCATCCTAAACTTACCTCATAGCCAAATCTTGAATAAGGGATTTCAGACCCTACGAAGTCCTGCTGGTCGATCACTCCGCCTGCCTTGCCAAGGGATGCCTCGAGGTCCCGTAGTTGTTGCCAGAAGCCCGGGTTGGGACGGATGAAGTCCTGGGATGATGTGGGATGTCTGAGTCATGGTAACCCCAGAAGCATCATGATGATGAGTACTGTGAGATGTGTGTGCGATATTACTTACGACGAATACCAGAACCAGCCTAAAACGAGGAGCGGGTGGTCGTGTGGCAGCACTAGCCGAAAACTGTTGAAAATGTTGGCCATCCAGCAGACACTTCGGCCCCTGATTGAAACTCACATAAATCAATTCCCTTTGCAATCTCTGTTTTTCTGGTAGAAAGCTGGTCACCCTGGCATCGAAGACCCGGCGGAATGCGGCTTCCAGGGACAATCCCTCACCTGAGTGATGATTTTTTGTGGTTGAAGCAAGTGAGATTATATCCTGACTACTCCTGGTCCCTAGTTGCATTGTATAAAGAATCTTTCGAGAGACCCTCTTTGTGCGCCAAAACCATCCACTTTTGGCAAGTGTGATGACGGATGGACAAAGCATTGAGGCGTTAGGGATGAATGTTCCCTTCTTCCTTGTGCTTGGGTTCTCGATATGGGTCATTCCCAAAAAGAAACAGTCCCCCTATTGAACCCCATCATATGCGTATCCTTCTTATGAGCACTCTCAGCAAATGCTTAGTCTTGGAAACCCACACATGGCAGCACAGTCACGGATCATCAGGTATGCCAGACACGTGCTCGCAGAGCGGCTTACCTTGCTGCCGGAAGACATAGGATTTTCTCAAATTTACGACGCAGTTCTAGATTCAAGCTTTGAGGTTTACCTTGCGAGCCTGCGTGGAGTATGAAGGGATCAGCGGATCCGGGCTCTATCGGGAACATCTTGGGAGATATCCGGAATCAGATAATCAGGAGATCATCTACAACGAGCATAAGAATATCAGAAATGAACGTATGAATCATAGCTTGACACTACAAATGCAAAAGGTTTTCGTGGTTGCGCTTCCGAGGGATGCCTATACGCCATCTCAAGGGTTTTCAAGTCTTGAAGTCCCTGACATTCCAGGCATGGAGAGTCCGCGACATAATTGAAGAACAAAGCTGAGTACAGTTCTCACGATTGGCCGAGGAGCGCCCTGCGCGCAATGCACCGCCACGCAGCCACCTTCACGGAGCACCCTGTCCAGGAACTCCACTGCGCGAACCCACAGGTCGCGCATAGGCTGCTCCTTGCCAGCACATCTGGCACCCTACCAAACTGCAAACTCTCACATGCAGTCAAGAAATGTCAATCTGCCACGCAACTCTAGGACATACCAACTTGAAATGCTCCTCCCAAAGCTTACATACGAAACCCTGCACCTGTGCTGAAAGGACTAAATCAAAGCTCCACCTCTCCCAGCCTCTATGTCCTCCGCTTCAAGCACCTCGATGGCGTAGCCATCAAGCCGTGTGCGCAGGGGCACACCATCAGAGTAGGATCCTGGGCTCAGGGTGCTAAGAATCAGCAGCATGTTTTCCCGGCCCTCCACGTCATTTCTACTTGTTGCAATAGTAACCCCTGCAGCCATCACACTGAGAATACCACTGCTGCTGCCGCCACCGCCGTTGACAACTACTACTTCTACTGGGGGAAGTTAATCCTAATTAATATAAAGTATGCAAGTGTGATTGTAGTTGTACTACTGAAAACAGTAGTGCATCACCCACTGCCTGACCATTTCCAACTTCACTGCTCTGCAGGCAGGGCACGGCTGTACAAGTCGTCCTTTGCGCAGTTCAGGATGCCCCGAATTCCCAAGCGCTCGAGCTCGGCCTGGCGCCAAACGATCAGGTTGTCAGGACTTTTGAGGTTTGGTTTGGGGCTTGGGGTGTCAATAGTGCTTCAAGGTCCGAGGCTTTCGGTGCTCACAGTTTACAGGTTTCAGATGCGGCTATGCCGCAGCTTAACGGTCACCATGTTCATCTCCCAATACCCTGGATGCCAAACGAAAGGCGAACCCAATTTGAAGGCATACTCGTGACACAACAATACCCTAGCTGGCAGTTGGGGGCTGAAACACTGCCGTGACCATCATGACTGCAACTGTCCAGCACATGCAAAAAGAGAACCTTGGCAAAATTGTCCTGAGGCAGAAAAGTGTTGTACTGAATTTTAAAAATCCTGTCCAGCCACTAGGAATTTCCTCTCAATCCACATATCATATACACAGCACAATCCTAGAGCAACCTTGAATCTTCCCTCATATGTGGGCTTGAGGAAGCCTAAATGGTCCAAGGCGTAGAAAGTGATTACAGGGATTCTTGCACAAGATCATGTAGGCATAATTTTGAGGAACCCCTGTATAGACGGCTGATCTGACCAGGTCCCCATTGCCGGCATCCGTCTCTGGAGTAACCCTGCACTCGCAACCCGGAAAGCCCACAATGCCCCCAAGCAGTCCTTGCAAAAACCCAGTGGAATCCCTCTATAAGTCATCCCCAAGCAACAAGGGAAAGAACACTCTAATCGCCTTGTTCTCCAGGGCAGCGGCGCCGCAGAGGTAAAGTCCACTGCCGATATCATCGATGCGTCGCCATGGTGTGGATCCTGGTTCCGGCGGACTTAGTAAGACTCAGCGAACAAAAAGACTGTGTATATATATATATTTTTTTTTATTTTCCTTAAGGAAGTATGGGAAAACGAGGTACTTTTTTGATGCGGCCACCCCAGACGTAGCCACTCCAGCTACTGCAGACACTTGAGACAGGGATTAACCCACCTGCCCAGCCTACTACCATCTCTCAATCCTACCACCTGGCCCAAACCGTTACGCACAAATCCCTAAACCCTAGATCCTGTCGAAAATCTTGCAAACCCTGGATGTAATCGGGAGCATCCTGCAGAGACTACACATGCATCATATCAGGAAAGGCGGTGGCTAGGCTGGGCCCCTTGAAAAAATGATGAGCCATGATCGACCGAGAAAGTTTGGGTTTCTAGGGCGTAGGATTGTAGGTTGCGGCTGTGTCTTGGGAGTTCAAACGTTAGATTTGAGGATATAGGACAACATGAGTCACGTCTCTCAACCTGGTTGATATACCAACGGCTTAGTGGCCTGCGGAGAGAGGGAGGAAGAGAGAGAGAGAGAGAGAGAGACATGTCTATCTAGGCCCCCTCTGGACTGCAACTGGAGGACAGGCAGCATGGCTGTTATGAGTGCTGGCTCCTCCAAGCGCTCACTTATTGTCAAGGGTTCATGTTAGGGGCCAGGGGTTCAAGCTAAAAAGCTGGGCTGTACATCGGTCTTCCACAAGTTCCTACCAAGAAGAACCCAAAACAGCTCCTTCTTGCATTGGCGTCGGAACTGCAGAGATCTCCGAGGCCTGCGGCCAAGCGGAAAGCTACTAGTGCAACACAGTACACTCTTGCTTCGACACCTATCTCTATCACGCACAGTCAATGAGGAAACAGCAAGCGCTGCTGCCCATGCTTTCCGCGATGTGCTTCCGGGGAAGTGGTAGTGTCCGAACTTCCAGAAGCTGATCCATGAAAATGGTCCAATGTCACGACTCAATACACAAGTCCTTTCGGGAACCTGATAAGATGGCTTCCAAAGTCATGCAGCGCTGCTTGGTGCCTGCTCCTGCTTCTTGGCGGCGGCTGCAGCCTTCCACAGAGCAAGGTAGAATCAGAGCACGGGTAGAAAACGACCAGAACTGCTCAAAGTAGCAAATAGCACAACAACGATATATCACTTGCAATCACCACATACACATAAAAACAAATACAACTATCCACACCGATAGTGGTGAAAAAACAGAAGGGAAAGAGGGGATCCACGGGTCACAGCCTCGCAGGCCTTTTGCCTTTGAAGCCCTCGCTCCACCGAAACCTACTCATAAACATGAAAGTCAAAGTGGGATTCTAGAAAAGTATTCAATCTCGCATAGACCGCCTCACGAAGGAATGCCAGAGACATTGAAATTGGATGGGGCCGCTGATCTGTCTACTTACACCTTGTACTTTTTTTGAACCTTGAGCCATCACAAGACGTGCAGCAGTCACCAGTAGCAGCGCAGCTGGCATGGCTAGCTGTTCCGAAAAGACTGGGGGGAATATGAAGGCGCAATGCAAGGACTATGCATCAAGCAGAATTCACAGCATCGGTGTTTGAAGGGCTCGTGGCGAATGCGACTAGTAGACTCTCGCCACTTCATGCTTCCTCCGGGCAGCCGGCGCTGGCTACTCGACCACCATCTCGACGCAGGCCCTGAATCTGAACAGCCGTGTTCACAGCTCAGAGCTCGTGAGTTTGCTTACAATACACCTCTGCTGGCTCAACGCCCACCTAAGATTAATCTCAAGAAGAAGCAAGTCCCGCCACATCGTCGGAGCAAAACCTAACAAGTTGGCAACTGAAAATAATATCCTGTGCCGAGAGCCCCCGAGATTTGGCTAGTCACAAATTCAAACATTGTGCAACAGGCTCACAAACTCTGAACATCTCGAACCACATACAGCGGGGAAGAACAGCCCGCCGCGCACAGGCCTCCCCGGCACCCGGTGCAGTCTCCATGCCCTCAGATGCATGAGCACTGCATGCAGACAGCCCTCGCAGAAGGGATATGAAGGGATATGAAGGCGAGGCTTTTTCGTGGAGGGGGCCGCTAAAAGTACGAAGCTACGACCTTGGGGTAAAAGATTCCAGGTATCTACAAGCGAGCACACAGCAGAAGACGGGTTTTGAGAACTGTGTGTAGCACACTAGCCAGGTCATATCGTCGCGGCTGTTGTCCCAACTATCATTCTGTCATCAACATCATTGCCAACATCGTCATGATAGCAGCATGAATCAAGAGCAGCACCGGGCTTGCCTCGTATTGGCAGTGCTACAAGCAGTGGTCTTGGCCACAGCAACAACCAACTCCCACTTCCACAACTTGCAACGGAATCGTTCCAGTTGCTGGCATTAGCAGCATGGGGCTCACCTTAAAACTGCTGCTAAACCTGGGCCCCACACTGCATGCTCCTTGGCCAGGAAGCCACTGATGTATTCGCCCTCACAGGTGAGACCATGCTTTTCGGCCTTTTCTGTGGCTGGGGACGGTCACTAGGACAGCAATGCACATCCACTATAAAAATGTCAAAGGCTCCTGCTCTTACATGGCCCTAGAGCTGAACCCGAAACTGTACATGCTGTGGACGTGACTAAAAAGAAGTGTGACCAAAAATATACATCGCCAAGACCAGGCGCTCGCTTCCCTGAAATCAGGTATCGAAGGCAAACTACAAGTACCCCACACTTGATGCCCTGTAGGCGGCAACTTCAGCGAGGCTGTAACTACCTTAAAGCCTGAACCCTAGATCCGAAACTCCGTCGGCCCATCTACACCAAGGACCATGGGCCCTTAATCTTGGAATCCCTTGATGGGTTTCACCTTAGAATCCTAAATCCCAAACCCCAACCCTGAACCCTGAACCCAAAAATCCTAGGTCCTAAGCCTGAGACTAAATCCCAATTTTCTGACCTTGCACCATAAATTTCCAAACCCCACCAAAAACCCCAAAACCCAAACCCCAGATCGCACCCCAGATGGCAATCAGCCTGACCCTTGGCCCGTACGGTCTTCAGGATTTCCAGGACCTCGGGCTCGCGTACCTTCATCGGGAGCTTCAGGGCGGTGGCTTTGGGGCTCGGGGTTTTGGGATTTAAGGTGTAGGGAGGGTGTAGGGCTTTGGCCTTAAGAGCTATTGTTTCGGGCTTTAGGGCCAGAGTTTTGGGTTTGGGGTTGGGGCCTTTGTTGGCATAGCCTAGAGAACTAGAACTATGGAATGGGGCCCATGCAAACTAGTCAGCCTTCATTCTCCGATGGACCTCATTAAGCTCTTATCCGGAACCCGTCTGACCTGAAACCATAAACAACTTAATTGTTAGCTTTTACTCCCAAACTGAAGCTCTAAACTTAACCTTTTGCCAACAAAAAATCTTGAAGATCCTTCTTGGGGCGCTCAAAGAAATTCACTTGAGAAACTTCAGAAGTCCAGTTCTGCAGCACAGGGTTATTGAGTTGACCAGTAGGCTCAGGACGGCAAGGCCGATGTTACGTAGGTGTGGGCGGGCATCTAGCAGGAGAAGCTTCCATGCCTGCAAGAATGATGAAGAACATTCCAAGCAGCAGGGCAAGGTTATTTCAAGGTCTTCCCAAATGCTATGTGCATAGGGCATGAAACATCCAGAATCTCATACCCGAACCTGGCTGTGCCTCGGCATCCCATGAACTTCTTAGCATTGAACGCATCCGTCCATCTGCAAAGCTACAACTTCACTTCCCACCGCCCCTGTCTTTCCAGCCTGCAAGACCTGCTTGAAACTCGGAAATGCTGGCTTCCTGACACAGAGTGACAAGGCGCACAGGCAACACGGCAAACAACTCAGCCTAAACGCCGCGTGAACGAGTGTTGTTTTCCGTCGCAGCGACCGCATGAAACCAGCAAAGGGGAAAGCATCACTTGATACGTGGTGCGGCCAACACCTGAGCCTTTTCAAAAAGGCACCCTGAATATTCTCAAAATTAAAATCAGCATGAATAAGACCAAAACTGTGCAACCTTTAGTGTCAGTACTCCACAAAAGGATGTGTGTTCTAAGAAGGGTGTCACTCGCCTCCGCTGGAGTGAAAGCCCTTAACCCAAACCCTATTCAAACCTTGAACCCTGAACCTTATCCTACTAAACCCTGGACCCTGATTCAAACCCTATACCAAACCCTACAGAGAATCCTGAACGCTAAACCCCAAACCCAAGCCTACTCCTAAACCCCAACCCTTTACCAAACCCTATACTACATCTTAAGCCCTAAACCAGAAGCCCAGCTCTACCCAGCAACCCCTATATTATCCCCTAAACCCTCAATTGTATATGCACTACACTGAACCCTAAACCAAGATCAGCAGCTTGCTTGCCTGAAGAGAGGCAGCACCAGGAGCGCCTTGCATAACATGCAGAGACAGAATCAAGGACTATGTTCCCCTCTTTTTGCACCTGCACATGCAATATAAAAAAAATGAAGAAGGTTTGGAGACTAGGGTGTAGCGACAAGGATCTGGGTTTCAGGACTTAGGTTCATTGACGGAAAATACTGTTCTCCAAAACTATGTGGAAAGCATGTTCTCAGCCCATGTTTTTCCCCATCCAAATATCTTGAATTACTTCATGCCCCAATTCCTGGCAGCAAGTTGATTCTGGGGCAACCTTGCACGTACAAGACCGCTCCTTTCAGAGACTCCAAGATGGCCTTTCTCCTTCAACAAATTTGGACGTGCCTTTGGCACGGCCTGTCCGGAGCTACTGCTGCCAGCCTGACGGAACAGACCGACAAGACCCAACTTCGAGCGAGAGGATTTCTTGAGACAGGAATATTATCTGCTTAATTATAGATCCACAAACACAGTGAGGATACAAGTTTACTCTGAACTGGTGGGTCAAAACTTAGCTGCTTTCTTATGGCGGCAAGTGATCAGGATCCGCGAAAGGGCACGCTTACCCACGTCAAAGAGGATTCAAGCTTAGGTAGTCGAGTCAATAGAAGGCTCCCAAGATAGTGATACCCTGGAGGCCTACACGGTAAGCAAGCCCCTTCGTACCACTCCTCTGCAGCAATAGCATTCAGATGAGTTGGCTCCTCTTTTGTTGTTGCTCGCCTTTCCTGAACTGCCACTACAGAAAGTATGCGCCAACATGCGCGGTACAATCCTCTGACGACCTTTGAGACTGAACAATTAAACCTGTGATCGCCACGCGTATATATGCATGTATATATACATATGTAATCATATGTATATAATACATACAATCTCGCTCTAAGAAAACGTCTTGATGATCCGCATGGAAATATCTCAAACATACCCCTATATGATTCTCAGTGGCGACCTCCGTAAACTTTTGGCAATCCTCATATCCTGGAAGAACCCCGACTCGCTTTGCTCTCCCACCTCCTTGGGCGGACTGGATGCAGCAGCTGTTGCGCCGCTGGAAGCCCTCGGACGGACAACTCCATGGTGACATGAACGCCGTCGTTTGCTGTTCTGGTTACATAGCTTGTTTACAGGGACCTTTAGACAGATTGCCGTGCTTATCAACAAGGTATGCACTGTAGCCACAGGGCCAGTTATCTGGGGTCCTTTTTGAGGCTGCGCGTTCAGGGTTGAGGCTTGAGGGTTGCATAGGGATTCTAACCGATCAACGGAACCAAGCTACTCAGGACTGCCCACAAATGATGAGATACTTTCTTTCCAGGAATGGCAAAACATTGACCCAAAGCTGTCGCACACCCCTTGGCCCAGTAAGGACCCACAAGAGCACCAAGAGCCCAGCTCCTCTGGTTTGGTCTCTTGCTTCCCACCCACCTGCGCCAGTATACCGGCATGGAGGTTGCTTAACATTTCCGGTTCCTTGTGCACGGTCCTCGTAAGGGCTACCGGCATGTGCAGACACCGTCACTGCAACAGTTTTGCTCACATGCCTCGCCTTGCTGGTGCGCTAAGGGAGTGTGGGGAATTCATCCAAAAAGTAATTCCTACATAGCCCCCTATTCGTCCCCAATTAAACACCAATGCCATGCCACTGCCTCCTTGGTCTTCGAGGCGCGGCCTGCAAAGCCTCGAGCCTG